GAAATAAATTTACTAGGTATTTTAGTTGATATTACAAATTGAATTGTAATAATTATGAAACTTGAAATAATTGTTAAAGAAATATGTCAAAATTGAGATTATTACAAATTACCTAGCGAATTCTATTATTTTTACATCAAATTCAATCATTTACAATCGAAAATTGTAATTTTTATCTCGTCATAAAAATTTAGTTTTCTCCGTGTATGACATTTGCATCCATGTCAATGCGTGACGAAGCCTGACCAAAAGGTGTCAAAAACAGCGTGACATAAAATACAAATAGCCTCCAAGTGAAGTCAATTACACTTAAGAAGTTTATCGCAATACAAAAATAGCACAGAGATTTCGAATAAAATTGAAATAACAAGACATTTATATTTCAAAAATCCTTGCAAAATTTTAATGTAATTAAAAGAATAGAGGAGATGTTTAATAAACAAATTAACGTAGTTTATTATGAGAACCACATAGTTTCAAGACATGAAAAGGTTTTTCATAGTAACGTGATAGAGAGAATTTAAGAATGCTAATTGGTACTCATTTGGGAAGATATCTGTAAATTTTCAGAACGATTGGGATCCGTAATTTTTAATTAAATCCTGATAACTATGTGAAAAATTATGTCCTCCCAGATTCAAAAGTGAATACAAGTGGTAAAATATGTTCTTAATGCACCACTATGTAATCCGATAGTCAGAATATGCTGGCAAAGAAAAAAAAAACTTTTGGGAGTTTCATTCCCACCAGCCAGTAATGCTGGTGAGCGGGCAGTCCCTCCGGACTATGCCGGAAGATAGGGCGGAAGGCCCTCTTCAGTCTGCTTTCGAGAATCGTGGGAATGGGTGGGTGGTGGTTCGGGTGAGAAAGTTGAGACGGACGAAATGAAGACAGAAGAGAATGAAAGATTATCTGTGGAATATTACTGCCTCAGTATTTGCCTAACAGATCCAATGGAACCACAGAAAAACTTGGACCAAGGCAGGCGGACCCGGAATCGAACCGGCGTCCTCCCTAATGCTAAGCATTGGTCTGAACGTCTAGGCCATGCCGCTCGGTCTGGCAAAGGAGCCCGCTAGCTCCTTACAGAAAATGGCACTCGTCAAACTATTTAAAACTTTGGATGAAAAGCCTCAATAGGCGCTAAGTTGTAAAAGCTTAAAATTGCATTCTTCTGTAAAGACTTCCCAGGTGCAATTATAGATACTAATTACACGTTCAACAAAATATAGATATGTTGATGTATTATGCCTATGTGTATTTCATAATATAGATGCCATGGTTTCACAACAGGGTAGTAATACACTCTGCAAAAGTGCTGTACAACTCTTTTATGCTTATTTTTAAAGTCCGTTCCAGGTCAATGGTGTAAAAAATACATGATACAATAAATCTATAAATGGTANTATGAACATTTAAAGACAAAATAGCCAAAAAGAGACCACCCCCATTACTTTAAGCAGAAGTTATCAGGTTGCCACCTTCTAATAGCAGGTTGACTACTTCTATTTTCAATCGTAAAAATTTATTTCAATTTTATAAAATCCGAAAAAAAAATACAAAAGCAGGTATGCTTCAGAATATTACGAACAATTATATCTTTTCTCTTATATAGTCCTTTCCCCCTATGAAAGGTGATATGTTTGATACAATTTGTCATAATTTCATTAAAAAAATTAACAAACAGTAGTGATATTGCACCGGTTTATTAAAATTGTAGAATTAAAACATTTATTTGATAAATAAATTCAGGATTTTTAATAAGGTATCAGTAGATAATAAAAAATTATCTACTTTATTAGGCAGTAAGTAGACTAACATTAAAGAAAATACAAAAAGATAGTGTTCATTTTGGTTTCTGAATTAATACTTCAAGAAATATATACAAAAAAACTTTCGTACTATAAAAGTGAATAATTTATTAAAACGAAATAATACAAAAACAATTAAGGAAACAATTCACTGTAGGTAAACCTCAACGTTATTTTATTTGCAACATCTGTGAACTTTTCAGCCAAAGCATTTTGCAGTGCAGGAACAATTTCGTCCAAGAATAAATGAATATTTTCGTTGATAACGTCGTTTGTTGCCTTTCCTAACACTGGGTCGCCATTAAACAAATTTTCTAGAACGATTTTGGAACTTCCTATGTGAATGTTGAACTTCATCTTATCGAACTCCAGATATTCTCGTGACTCTTTCTGTACTTTGTGGCCTTTCATAGCACAATCGAATACAAAATCGGCTGAAAAAAATAAAAGACGTTATTCATTTTTAAATCAAATTACTGAAATTATTTACTCACATATATTCATTGACATTGGTCCGTTTCCTTTGATGTTAATGAACAGTATTTTGGAGTCCGTGTCATATTTACCAAAGACGCTCATTTTTGGAATGTGAACCCTGAACCTGAAGAGGTTCTTCTTCAGGTTTGGACTAAAAAAGCGATGAGACTTATTAAAACTGAATACACAGAAGGATATTAAAACTTAAAGAAACAAGTAGCAGGTTAACAATACAAAAAACGGTACGAACTATTTGGGATCTTATGGCAAAAAAAGGAAACTTCTTTCATGTTTTAATGATCAGAAAATCAAACTTTAGGAAGCTTCGGAAAAGTTTATGTATACAGTAAAAGTTTCTTGTTCACGGTTTCCTTATTCGCGGACAAAAAAATGCAACTCATTCCTGTATTCGCTGACAAAAAAAAAGTAATCGGTGTCATTTATTAAGGGGATTGACCGCAATAGATCGCTCGTGCGTGGTGTGAATTTTTCCGAAAACATGGATTTCTATTCTAAACATTGTGATTTAACGCTGCGAGATAAATATGTGATTTTTTGTGTGGTAACGAACAAATGTTCACACTAACTCGGTACTTCTTTGGTTTTCAGTAATATAGTCATTAAAAGCTTTTACAAATGCTTAAAGTCGATACTTCTTGTAAGCCACGTATTTTTAATAGAAATTAAAAAAATAAAAAACGGCTTTCGACAGGCTTTAGAACAAAGCTGTATCTATCTTACAACAAAATTTGAAACCTGTGTTCCAAACATTAAACTCATAATATCTAGAACCGCTAACCCGTTTTTACTCTACGGCGAATGTATTACTGGAGCCCCTTAATGTATCGGTATCTTTTGAGTACGCACTATTGGTACGTGCTGAGGCGACTTTTATAAAAGATGTACCTAACAGAGTAGACAATTCAAAATTCAAAACAAGAAAAAACCACTAAATTTTTAAACCCTTGTCTAAAGCTGATTTTATTGGTTTTATTTTGGAACCTTAGAACGTATTCCCTATGACTCCATACTAATTACCATTCCGTATCCACGGTTTCTGTATTTCCGGCATATTTATGAAACGTTTGTCACGCGAATAAAGGGCTTTTACTGTACATGAAGCATCTTCTGTTAAATCTATGCTGGTGAGATCAAATTAGATCGAAATCGTAATCCACACCTGGTATTAGTTTCGATGAGCAAACCAAAAACTTAATACAGAAAAGTTATTATGATGCAAAAAAGATTTTACATTGTTTATACGGTTATTAGGAGTGATTTAGGGTACTTTTGTTAAATTATTTATCGGTTATACCAATAATTCTATTTATTATTATCATCGGGTAAAGACTAATTTTAAGTATAATGTTTTAATTTCCACAACCTTCGTTTACTCGTCATAATAATATAAAAAGAAGAAATATTATATGCATAAACGTACCTTAACTCTGAAATATGAAAATTTGCGGCTCCGTATACTTTAAGCTCTGACAAGGTCGCTCCAATGCCATTTTCACCGTTTCCTTTAAGATTTATATTGTCCAAAATTAGCGGTTCCAAAGGAGGCACATTTAGTTCAGGGATACCATTCTTCAAATATGGCACGATTTCACTTATAGAATTGTTTATGCAGCCCTTCAGGTCTGGGTTGCTTCTTTCGCAAACCTTTATAAAACTAGCTGTAAAAAGAAAATAACTGTAAAATAGATAAAAATAAAAAAGAGATTCTTCTTCTATAAGATACAGTAATATTCGAAATATATGTATTAAGTATTTAACATTTCTATCCTTGGTCAGAACATTGGTGCGTAAAGCCAAAGGTCCCGGGGTTCGATTCCCGGCGGGAATGTGACAACAGCAACAATTTTTCCCTCATTAATTTGAGGTAGTATGTAGTGGGTAAAAAATTCAAAAATTAATTTTCAGAATAATATTTCTATCCTGAACTAATCTTCACATTTCCCAAAAACTGGAACATCCTACGTCCGTAACTATTTGTGAACAATAATCTAATTTAGGTTTACTTCTATCTCAGGAATTACATTTGTATTTATTTACACATCCATGTTTGCTGCAAATTTGAGATTTTACATTAATGTACCTACAGGTACGTAATGTAACATGGTAAAGGTACACTTACATACAGGTACTGTAAGGCGCCCTTTAAATGCTTATGGGCCGATATACCACAACATGCATATGATGTATTTTCTGATAATATAATGAGAAGGTGCTTCGCCCTTTTGCTGTGTATGAATACTATCAAAATGTTGGAAAATAAACAACGTGTACCTATATAAAATCCCTTCCTTGTGATGTTACATATGTAGTATCCACAAATTCTTATTTAGGTCACTGGTACAAATAGCGGAATAAATGATTATTTATCGAGGAGAGTCGAACATCACGAAGAAGGAAATAATGCAGGGTGGCGAGGCGGCTGCCATAAATTATACTTAGTCAAAATATAATTGTACATATCACGCACTTTTAAGTTTACTTGCCATCTTAAACTTTTATACGATAGTTTATTAATTCTGAACAGGAAAATACCACGACAAAGTTGCAGGTACTTATAAATTAATTATTATTGTTTTTAATTTTACACACGTACAATATTGAACGTGTTAATGTGAAGAGAATCAAGAGCGCATTACGTAAAACTTTTCATACATAGGTGGCATTGACACTTTTTACGTTAGTTGCATAAAACCATAATAATTACGACGTCTAAACAATATTAAATAACATTTAGTGTAATAGTAAACAAGAATATTGAGACGTTTTTGTTGTACATTATTTCATTTTTATTAGTTTCTTGTTAAACGTCCATTAACACATTCGACAACCTTAACTTCTTTGTGGGTACTAAAACCTTTTTCGTTTTTATAATTTTATATCAACTTTAATACATAAAAATGACAGTCGTAACTTATCACAAGGTAACGTTTTACAACATTCATATAATACCTACATACATGTCGGGTCTTTTTATTGCACACCATTTAATAGGAACAATTTAGTGTTTAAAACTTAGTTCGGACTTGATTTCAACCCTCAACACCTCTCAAATTGCTTTTTAAGTAGCGAAAATGAAAATATTTTCATTAAAATTATTTGTATAGTATAAAATTCGTCCAATAACTATCAGTTTAAAAAACCATACAAACAGCCTCTCCGGAGGCATTTATTTAATATATAGTTACATTACATGAGGTTCCACACGAGAGAGTATGTTTTCAGAACAGGACATAGATAAGCGCATGCGTATCCTGCAGTATAAAGCCTGTCCATGCCTTATTCTGAAAACATTTATCTTATATAAACAGCCCTTTCTTGTACATTTTTAAAGTTGTAAGAATACATCGTAAAAACTGCACGTACTAACGCCTTTCATTTCTAGATAATTTTAAAGGGAACAGTACCTACTGTAGACATAAGGCTTAGTGTTTATTACAAGTTGTTTCCCCCTTATCAGTCACTATGAGCTCGAAACTGCAGCACCATTGCTTCGAGTGGTCGAAATTCACAAAATTAAATTTAAAGGAATGGTTTGTAAATAGGTATGCAACACATCGTACACTTCAGCATAAGAAATTGCTGATACGAACTTCATTTACGTAATGCTACTTTGCCCTGTGAGGACAGCACTCGTAATTTTCTTTATATATAATATTAATGTCGCTTTCTTTAACATTATTCATCATCTATTGTATATAAACAAACTCATTTATTTATAAAGTTTCTTTAAATTCATGTGTTNCTTAACTACAAATTTTTCAAAATATTATTATTAGGAAGCATATTAGTGAGGAACTTAATTTATTATAATGGTTTTGTTTTCCTTGTAATTTGAATATATTTTACATAACGTGTGAATTATTACCAAAAAAATTACACCGTTGAAGACACAGCTACTTAAATTATTTTAAATGCAAAAAGCATATTATAAATAAACGTGAAGAACAAGTACATAATGTAATTTTATTCCTTAATTGCAATAAAAAAAAACTGAATCAAAATAATGGTGTTTATAACTTCTAATAACTTTCAATTGCGTTTTTGTTCACATCAAAATAGAAATTAATTACATCTTCTAATTAAAGATGATGTGATAAATGTATAAACAGAACACTGTAGGTAAATTAGTGTTTAAATGAATTAAGTTTTATTAATTGTCACACGCACTGAAAAAAATAATCTAATAAATGCAAACATAAAGAAATTACACTTATATTAACATTGAGATAGTAATTAAATTTAGAATTAACCCTAATTCTCTCTAAGTTAAAAAACCAGTTAATACGTGATAGTGGTACCAAATATTAATTTCATTAGCACTATTGTAGTCCATATAAGGTTTAAATTCCTATTTGGCGCCATAATATAAATCTTCAATCTTAAAATTAGAATAGTAAAAACAATTATTCTACTTACGTATTTCGCAAAGAGCAAACCCAAAAACAAAAGTTAAAAGTATCGTTGTACGGGAAATCATATTTTTATAATTTTCAAATTTACACTTGAAGAATATTCTTATTGTAACAAGCCGGCCACAACTACATTGAGTCCACAACAACAATGGTGTCGCCTATTTGACTTTGTGGACTTATATATGCACCGGAACAGGCAGTCCTTGATGTTTTAACCCTAGGCTACTGCAGTCTTTAACTTTATTTTTTATTACGAATTAAAATTATAAGTAATCTCACATTGTGGACATCAACGCAACGTACAGCATTCTGCCAAACTGATGGTATGGGGATACGGAAAATAACTCCATGAATAATAATACCTTTAGGTTCATTAAAACCAGAGGTCAACCGTACTGAAACGTATGAATGTCTCTGACAATGAGACTACGAACTCAAAAGTTCAAGGAATTGGACACCCTGTAGGTATCCATTGTTACAAAAATCTTGTGCATGTCACTGACATTCTGACGTATATTGCCGACGTTTCAACATCGATTACGCGTAGCATCTTCAGTACTCTTCTAATGATTACTATCAACATCGGAAGTGTACATACGGATCTTTCCCTACGTCTGAACTTTATTTCAATACATCGGCCAAGTACCAATTTAACTCCTGCATCAATTCAGTTAGAAGCTAGATTAATAAAATGCTTATTAAGTAATGATATAAATGTATGGCTTACGAAAAAGATTAGTTATGATGAATTTTAAATATTATATACCTATGAATATTAATAACATTAATAATAATAATGTTTATTTATGTATTTATCTGTTTATTTGGTTATAACAGATGAGATAGCGTAAGACAATTATGGAAGTAAAGTTAATATATATTCATGAGTTTTTTTGCATTTATAAAAACTATAAAATGTCATCTAATCAAACTTTTATAAAAATACAGTATGTTTAGTATAATAAATGAAACGAAAGTGTGGCAGCATATTTTTATTCCTTTATTACTATAAAACAATAAGTAACTTACGAAGATGGAAATAATTCATTATAGGGTAAGTTACGAGATATGACATTTGCTATCCTAAGAAACTTCTCTGCTAAAGCCCTTTCTATAGCTGGTTTCATGTCTTCTATCACCTTATCTACATTATTTACGACTAATTCATCAATCGCTTTACTTATCAACAGGTTGCGTTTCAAACTACTATCCAGTTGTACTTCAGAAGTTCCCAACTCAATAGAAATTTGAATTTTATTGAACGTCAAATAATCATTCCCATTTCTATTAATCTTTTTACCATGCAATAAACAATTTCCACGGTAATTGCCTGCAATTATAAACGACAAAGTATCATTTCTTTGCAATTTACATAATCATCTACAGAATGCTCATAAAAATCATGTATCTACAATAACGTACAATTCTTCGAAAAATTCTGAAAGTGCATATGTTAGCGTCATGCAAGGGGTTGTTAGTCACAAATTGAGAAGGGGTCTATTACAAGTTTAATTGTAATAATAAGGAAACTTGAAATAATTTATAAAGAAATATGTCAAAATTGAGATTATTACAAATTACCTAGCGAATTCTATTATTTTTACAGCAAATTCAATCATTTACAATCGAAAATTGTAATTTTTATCTCGTCATAAAAATTTAGTTTTCTCCGTGTATGACATTTGCATCCATGTCAATGCGTGACGAAGCCTGACCAAAAGGTGTCAAAAACAGCGTGACATAAAATACAAATAGCCTCCAAGTGAAGTCAATTACACTTAAGAAGTTTATCGCAATACAAAAATAGCACAGAGATTTCGAATAAAATTGAAATAACAAGACATTTATATTTCAAAAATCCTTGCAAAATTTTAATGTAATTAAAAGAATAGAGGAGATGTTTAATAAACAAATTAACGTAGTTTATTATGAGAACCACATAGTTTCAAGACATGAAAAGGTTTTTCATAGTAACGTGATAGAGAGAATTTAAGAATGCTAATTGGTACTCATTTGGGAAGATATCTGTAAATTTTCAGAACGATTGGGATCCGTAATTTTTAATTAAATCCTGATAACTATGTGAAAAATTATGTCCTCCCAGATTCAAAAGTGAATACAAGTGGTAAAATATGTTCTTAATGCACCACTATGTAATCCGATAGTCAGAATATGCTGGCAAAGAAAAAAAAAACTTTTGGGAGTTTCATTCCCACCAGCCAGTAATGCTGGTGAGCGGGCAGTCCCTCCGGACTATGCCGGAAGGTAGGGCGGAAGGCCCTCTTCAGCCTGCTTTCAGGAATCGTGGGAATGGGTGGGTGGTGGTTCGGGTGAGAAAGATGAGACNTGTAAATTACGTATGTGAGATATTTTTTTGCTAATTAATTTTGGACCTAAAAAATTTTCTACTTTTTACAAGTTTCGGTTGACCATTCAAAATTCCCAGGTACGCACCTTTTCAGATAGTGGAATAAAACGTTGTTTGTTGATTGTATTCGCCGATTTTTTGCACTCCCATGGTGAATCAGCGACGATAATCTTGTTTCTAGACATTATCTAAGTACGATTGAATAGTTTCAAGAAGATAAGAAAAAATTATTTTTGTTCCCAAGTTCAAGGTAATTGACTATATTTAACAAATATGTAACCATCACCTACTTCGGATCAGCTTCGTTTGCCATTCGTCTTTTAATTGTCTACATTTGTATATAAAAGCCCCCCGATTGAATTAAAATCATTATTTACTGTTTGCCATTATAATTGCTGTTGTTGTTGTTATTGCTGTTGTTAGCTGGTAACCATGAAGCTTGTTGGTACTATTGCGTTTGCATGTGTGTATTTGAATGTTATCGTTAATGCTGGACCAATACGTAAGTTACCCTAATAGGGAATTATTTAAAAAAAATCAATTCTTTTTAAAAAGTCCAGAAAATTCTTCATTGTAGCGTGTCATTCAAAATGGGGTAGTTTCGTACTTAACGTTTCAATATACAGAAAATTTTAAAGGGTGCTGTTATTTTTAAATGATCCTTTTTGATTTAAATAATAAGACTTTGTAACATGTAGTTTGTTTTAATTTTGCTATAAATCATGGCTATCAACAAGTAAAAATCGATTCCATTTAATTAATAAGAGTTTTAATAAGAAAGGCCTTTTTAAAGCGTTATAACAAAAATGTCACGACCAAAATTATTTTCCATTTATACCAACTATAAATTACCTACCTATAAATTAGTAGTTAGAGCATTGGTCAGTAAAGCCAAAGGTACCGGGTTCGATTTCCGGCGAGGCAGTATCAACAGCAACAAATTTTCCTCATTAACATTACTTATTAGTTGGTATTAATGGAAAATAAATTTTCAGATTAATATTTGATATACAAATATGATTGAACCTATTCAATACGTATAATAGGTATAATTGTATCTTGGAAGTCCTTACGGAAAAATGCGGCTTTGAGGGATCATATCTCAAAAAGTTTTTAGATTTTTGATCTACACGTCGATATATATACATATTGTATGGAAATAGAGAATATGATATACGTGGAGTTGTTCACATATTGAAATCCTATCTCGGATTTCTGAAGGAATATAGGATACAAAATAATTGTAAACTTACTTAAATTGCCTTTCATGAAACCACTATCTTTCAATTCAAAGGCAAGCAGTCGCATATCCATATCATAATTTCCCTCGAAATATAAACGTGGAAGTTTTAGATTATACTTGAATATATGTCTGCTCAAGTCAACCCTGAAATGCAAAAATGGGTTTCAAAAAATTGTTCCTTTAACAAATTCAATTGAACTTGAATGACAATTTGCAAAAGCAGATTTCAAAAGTTCATAACATTTTTAAAATCGTGTCAGTTGTTTTCATTCCTTAAATATTAAATGGTATAAAATAAAAATGATCTGATATGTGACTGAAATACTATGTAGCAACTTATTTGTGTTTGAAATGTTATTCTTACATCACATTTTTAATGGTGTAGTCGCTACATCCCCAAACTTTCAGATTCGTAAAATTTAACATTCCATGATTGTCAGTAGTTTGTAAATTTATTTCTCCTAAATCCAATGGTTCCATTGGTGGGACGTGTAACTCCGGAATTCCCTCTTTTAACTTTGGTTTTAAAGTTATTAGGAAATTCTCGATACATCCTGCGATGTTTGGATCATGCCTACATATCCGAAAGTAACTTGCTAAAAAAGAAACATTACTAAATATATTATGTAACAGCTCTATATGTTACGTATAAGTTCTAGGATTAAAATCGGAGATCACGTCTGTGATCTGCGATTCATGGAGAAAAAGGTCACAATTTTGAATAAAGTTACGATTTATACAATCTAAGTTTTATCCACGCATGCAAAAAGGTCAAGAAAAATTATCTAAACAATTTTTTTGATATGTATAGTAGACATCTTATTATCGTAAGCACAAATAGAATTAATAACCTTCTTCTAATTTAAACACATTAATCGTCAATTTCTGGAAAAACATTTTACATAATATCATCTACATAAATTGTGCGTTATTACAAAACAGGGAAGTCGAAACATCCGACATTTGCACTGTTCACACATTTGAAGTACAATAATACAAAATAAACCGAGACTCATTTTTTATAATATTTTTAACTTGCTATAAGGTCCTTATAAAGTATTCTCCTATGTCAATATTTATGGAACATTGTATTCTGTATTTATATATATACAGACTTATTTTTATCTACAAATAATTATACAGACTGTTCCATTTTAAATTACGCATCTGAATATCTCGTCAAGGAGGCACTGATTCAAAATAACCGCAACAAGATTTGTTAAGTTTTAAGGGAGGCGGGTGGGGGGGGGGTGAGGGGAAACCAGTGTCGGGTAGAAGTTTAAGTAACCACTGAATATTTCGCACTCCGCGTTATCAGATAATGTTATTAATGTATAGTATAAAATTTATAGTATTTATGTCTCTCAGTAGAACCGATAATAGCATAGGGAACACATCGAACAATTACAGGGATGTAGCTACAGTTGGTACGTTCAGAATTGGCATAGGCTGCAATAAAACTGTCGCATTTATTTTCTTCTTTAAACCTACTAACTAGACTAGAGTGGTTGCTGACATAGAACAGAGATGTCAGATGAGAATTGCAGCGAGCACTAATAAAGAAAAAGGAATAACACTGCACCAATTAATATGTAACAAAAAGAGACGCAGACAAACAGAATGTTGAGCATTGCACTTTCAAATTCAACATTCTCAAGAAAAAGAACTCCGTTAACTAATATTACAGTAGACACTTGCAAACCTAATTTGGTACAATTTCAAGTAAAGCAAAGTTTGTCTGCTAGCGGAAAAAGAGCTCGAGAAGAAGAGGCATCAATTAAAAAAAAAAAAGAACGGTAAACAAGATCTGAAGTGGTGCACATGGTGCTCAAAAGTTGTTTTCTTTTTTCTGAATGTCTATAGAATTGAAAGTTTGAAAAACAGCCTGTAGTTAATTATAACAAAAGAATGTAAGTATCGTTTTTAAATCAAGTGGATGGTGTTTAGAATATTAATACACTATTATTCCATTCTATACCTTAGTACAGACGATCGTATGTATTTATTAAGTCGATAATATAGAAGAGCCAAGGCCATTTATGACAAACTTATTCGTCTGTTTACATCTTTCATTAATAATAAATTCAGTGCACCTTCTGCTTTCATCGTCAAACTCATAATTTTGATTTGTTCTTTTATTAACGTTCAACATGATTGTAAAATTGGTAACTAGATAGTCAACTTTTATTGGCACTGACCAAGGGTGAATCGCACCGTGTAAATGTCATTTCATGTAACCCAAGTTGATTTTTGACTGTCATAATGAAACTTATTTATTGTATAATTTTTAGTGTTTTCGTCAGCCCCATCAAATCAAGTTTTGCAGAAATGCTACTAGTTTTTGAGCAAAAAAATATAAATATTCATTTCCTATCTCACAGTGTTTATTAGTCATATTAAGTTCAAGCTACACTGCACAAACTTAATGTCAATGATATTACAGACAAATTATTACCAATTCTACAACAAATAATTACTTATTTATTACATTACCTTTGAAACTATTGTATTTTTCCAATTATATGCTTAATTACTTCCAATTAAAATGTGACCGACTGAAAACATTATGTAATTAAAAAAGAAGTCATGTTTTGGTCGCTTAATTCTGTTTACGATGATCTTTTACAATCGACTGTCTCCTATTTAAATTTAAAATATTGAGAATTTATCACGTTAAATAAAAAATCGAACTTTATTATTAACAATTTCTAGAAACAATGAATTCGTCGAGTTCATTATCAAAATGCATAAAAAATGGCGAACTAGTTTTGCACATATGTAAATAAATCAAAATAAAATGAAATTATCTGAAGTCTTGGAATACCATCACAATTACTGACAAAAACGTCAGCAGTAAATAATCAAATGTGAACGAAGTAAAGTAAAAACTTTTACCGATCGTAGAGAGATTCTGTAACAAGTGTTTCAGATGCATGAAGTATTAATGGGTTTGAAGACGATAATGACGTATGACAGACGAGGCTTATACTTCCCTACAACTATTGATGGACGTCGATTAGAACGAAAACGAGATTCTGTACTATTTATATGTTGGAAGTGTTGTTTCTACGACTGACGTCCAATTACGATGTGCATACTTACATATTTTAAAGTTCATTTAGACAAATGATTTAAGTAATCAATAGTTTTTGACTTCTGAAGCAAAATAAGACTACCATTCTCTAGTAAACAAAATACATAAGGAAATTCCGCAAAAAATAAATTCTAATGTAAATAAAATTAATGATTACAGTAAAAATAATACAGTATAGAAATGAGAGTCCATAGAAAACTGCAAGATTTGTTTACTAATTGTAAAACCGATACCAACGTTTCGTTTTCTCATGTAAGGCTGTTTCAGCATAGATCATTTAGTAAGTTAAGATTGAAAAAATCTTAAAAATATAAAAATAATTGACCAAATTTTGTCTAAGCTTTCGCGGTTCTAAAAAAATAATTAAATTTTGAACTAGAGTCAGACCTACGATCAAGTTGATCCCAAAATCGTTTTTAGTCTAGCCGATGTAAATGAAACAATAGAAAATACAGACGAAATAATAAACAGTTCTCGTATGCCAATACTGAATATTTTGTACTTAATAATACCCAAAGAGTCAACAGAAATCAGCTAATAGGTACTATACAACATTTATTCTAATTTATATTTGTTAAAATTGCTGTATAATTATCTACCTAATAAAAGTCTTTGCTGTCTTATAATTATATTTTTCAATTTATATCTAATAGTGTCTAGTTAATAATACTAATATAATTATATTTTGTTAGTTACAGTAATTTAATTATTTATCTGAGAACAACTTACGTAATTTGGCGCTACTAGTCGATGTTTCAAATGATATTAGCATTAGTCCAAAAAATAGAACAAAACCACATTTAAATTCCATTGCTCTAAGCGAATACGATCAATAACAGTTCACGTACATACTCATTTCTCGATCACATGGCCCCTCCTGTAATTGGTTAATTATTAAACAAATTACAAATGCAATAAAACGTCCAAAACAATGGGATTGTAAAACCTTTATGTGTAAGAGTCATTACAGTTCACTTAATACTTCAAATGTAACGTTTTATTACTTTATATCGATAAATGACTTTAATAATCAAGTAATCAATTCTGTATGCTGTAAATAAATCAACAGATCATCCACTAATATAGCTCTATTTTCAAGAAGAAAATTTAATACCATTTAACCTGTTTTTATCAACAACGATTTAGCTGAATTTACATAACAAAGCTGTTGAAAACTAAAATTAATGTATATACTTCCATAATGTAATTAAATTCAAATACGTTGAACTTATTTATTTAAAAATATTAGTTAGAAAAGAATTAACGTATGTACGATATGTACATATTTATAGACAGCGCATGCTCCAGGAGCGAACAACCTGGACATTTGTCCGGGGCGTCAAAATTTGGAGTGGCATTTTGCCTGTAAGTATGAGAAAATTAGAAAAATATTGATGTGTTAAACACCCTGTTGATGAAAAATTTCACATATCGATTTTCTTAAAATTGATTAAGAATATTTTATGTTCGACTACTGCACAAAATCATCTTAATGGTTTTGGCCATTTTGGCATTTAGGTACGAAATTGTTGATCAAATAAACTTAAAGGATTTAATTACAAAGTTTGCAGAACTGAAAGTGAGAATAGAGAGTCTTTTGTGATTTTTACGTAGTTGATGTTACCTTGCGTTATTTTTTAAATAATTGTATTATGACTGATTGTGTAATAATGCACATTTTCAATTTTCAAATTAATTTCTACTGTTTTGTACTACTTAACTGTCAATAATTTGTTATGTTGCACGTTTCTTTCTAAATACATACTTCATTTTAAATTTAAATTAAATAATTTGATTTTTTATTAATAATAAACAATATAGGTAGGGGAGACTGGGGCTGGTCGTGACAGGGGTAGGTAGTTATAGCGGCAACGGTGGCTAAACAAATAACGCTATTTTGACGTAAGAAAGACACAAATGATTAGTCCACCACCGATTAGCATGTTTCGCGAGCTAGTGGCGCCAGCGCTTTTGTGAGAGGAACCCTTACGTGTTGGCATCAAAACCGCAGGTTAGTAACATTTTCATTTTTTCCTAATATTGGTCTACAACCTCTTTTCCTTTAAAACAGATATGTGTGTGTTGTTATATTTGTGCCCTAATCCTTTCTTTTTGCAATGAATCGACGTTTATACAATTACACTTATTTGAGGTTTTACTACTTAACCTTGAAGGGTCAGTTTTGGCGTTGGGGCTAAAAGTGACATTTTCTCGGGGCAGGTTGTTATTTGTTACTACCTGCCCCGTAGTGCTGCACAGGAACAGAACAAGAAAAAGGAAATTACATCAAAAAAAGGAAAGGTAACTAAGAAAGAGAAGTCAACTGAAACCAGAAAAGATGAAGAGGGAAAAACACCTAAGGAAACAAGGAAGAAGGCTGTGAAAAGGAAGGTCTTACATGACTCTGAGTCTAACGAAGGAAGTGTAGATGATTATTTTTGCCTGATATATTGTGAACCGTTTGATCAGAGTCGAGCTGGTGAGGAATGGGTACAGTGTGTTGTTTGTAAGAAATGGTCACACATAAGATGTGCTAAGGGAAATGTTTTATCCTACATATGTTTGAATTGCGAAAGTAATTGTTCAGACTATAGTGATTGTTTGGTGTTGTGTTATTTTGTATATTACTGTACATATTTCTTAAGTAGTTTTTCTGAATATTTTATTTTATTAGGTCTATAGTTTAGGATAAATTCAAAGTAGTTGTTAAGTAAACAT